CTTGTGTTTGGAGCCGTGTGTCAAGGTGAGGTTGGTGCTGCAGATCCGCGACTCCAGACACACAAAACAGCCGGGGACAAACTTTCGGCTCAGCTTAATGGGCCTCGGCTCAATGGTGAGTGACATGGCTCGCTCATTGCTCAAGTCAACCACATAGGTGACGTCTGAGACCACGAACAGAAAACAGGCATAAAGAAAGGATCAGCTGCAACCCCGTGAAATGGTGACGATTAGCACAAAAATCTCTTACAGCTAGGGACTGTTGGAAATACTTTTTATTATTAAGGCAACATCACAATAACTTTAAAAAAATTTTAAAAGAAAAAGTCGATCGCATTTCTACTACGCTTATTTAGCTGCTTTCATCTCTTCAAATTCATTTTAATCCTGGTTCATACGCATGCATATTTTCACCTACTTAAAAGTATAATGAATATAAAATTTTACTCAGCTTTTGCTTTATTTTATAGTTTTAGTTAGCTTACTATACAGTTTTCATATGCACTAATCTTTTAAAATATTCATTAATCTTAGTAGCTGTATAATAGTCAACTAAGTGAGATTTATCATTACTTCTCTAAATACTCTCCTGCTATGAATAGTAATTAAGAACAGTGTGGTATTAGTGTAGGGATAAAAGACTCATAGACAGGATGAAACCTTAGCTATTTTAATTTAGTCTCTAATAAACACTATATTTCAAATAAGTCAGAAAACAATGGGCTGGACCAGGAGAGCTCTCTCTCCCATTAGTAGAATAAAATCGGACTGGCGCCTCAAAGCAGTTACCACAATAAAAGCAAAGAGCATATCCTTATAAGTATGGAGTAAATGCAAATTACAAAAGCAAAAAAAAAAAAACAACAATTAAGCTATCTTTCTGACAATAGGCACCATAAATAATGTTAAGGGAAAAGGGACCCACTGGGAGAAAATATTTGCAAGATGGAATGATTGAGGAGTTCACTGTAAATGGTCCAAATACCCAAAATATGAAGGTAGATGGGGTAAAAGGGGTCAAATATGCGGTGACAGAAAGAAATCTAATTATGGGCGGTGAACGCACAATGCAATATATATATGCCTTACTGTTGAATTATACACCCGAAACTTACTGGATTTCGTTCACCAATGTCACCATAATAAAAATGAATGAATGAATGAATGAATGAAAGAAAAGAGAGAGAAAAGCAAATTATGACAAGGTGTTACTATCCCTCCCTAATTGGATGGATAGAATGTAAAAGCCTGATGATATCAAGTGTGGGGAGGGTAAGGGGAAACAGCTGCTCTCTCGTACTGCTGGTGCGAGCATGGAGCATCTTGTTATGGTGACTTGGGGATGCGTACAGAAATGAAAACCCTGCACCCCTGTGAACCTAGGAGTGCGACATGGGGATAAATGCCCACGTATGCATTGCAGCTCTGTAATTATGGAAAACTAGGAACCACCAAAACCAGAACAGTTAAACTATGGAACATTCAGGAACGGAATATTATGCAGCAGTTAAAAAGAATGAAGGAACTCTAAATATACTCATGTAAGAACCTTCGAGATATAATATCTACCAAAACAGCAAGTTGTAGAATAATATGTTGACTACGATACCATTTATTTACAAAATGTCCATGTACAACGAAACGGCTATTTCTATACATACGTACTTGTATATGTAAATGGAGAGAAAAAAGATATGGAGAGAAATACAACAAATCCATAATTATGATTACCCCAGGAGAGAAGCCTGGAAGTGAGAAAGTACAGATGGTCAGGAGGGAATGTTAGTTTTGTCTATAATATTTGAATTTTTAATAAGAAAATATTTATGTATGTCTTCGGTAACTTGAAAAAACTGCCCCATTGTTGGCCAGTTAGGTGATTTCTCTGATCTTGCCATTAGAAATAAAAGGTTCTAAGAAGGTCATGTGCATGCTTGATTTTCATCTCTTTCCTCAGGATAAAGTCCCAGACCTGATCTGATTGTGAGGTGCAAGAATAGGGATATTTCCCTAACTATTTAGAAAAGATGACCAGATTGCTTTGTAAGAGTCATTTCACTTTATAATGTCTTCCCCAGAAGGCTCTTCTCTGTGACCCACTGGAAGTCACATTTTACTGAGTTGCTTTTTAATTTTATTCATTCTGCATTTATAGAAAGCCATCAAATTGGAAAGGTTTGAATTATACACACACACACACACGCGCGCGCGCGCGCACACGCACTTAGAATGTTCTACATCTGTAGGATGAGTTCAGTGTCAGTATTAGATTAGGGAGAAAATGCTGAAATGTCTGTCTTTTGCCTAAGCCATGGAAACAACATTAAAATGACAATGACAGTCATTTTTCTGTTCAGTAAGATATCTCAAAAGTTCTATATTTGTTTCTTACTCTAATATTAAATACCCCAATATTTTCTCAATTAAATAATTCCCTTTGTTTGTACAAATGTACGAATCTCCTTAATAGCCTTTATCTGGCACAGGTACTAAATACATGCTAATGAATCAATAAATGAGTTCTATCAACTCCTCAAAACAGACCTATTATAAGGTAGGAGGAACCAGTATTAATACTGAGTATCATTATTTCCGGTTCAAACATAAGAAAACGGAGAGCTATTGAATTAAACCACCGTGCTCAGAGTCGTACAGCTAATGAATGGCATAGCAGGACTCAGCTTAGGTCTTCTGATTCTCAAATCAGTGCACTTAATACCACTACTGCTGATTCCAAGACGAAACTTTAAAATCTCCAATACTTAGGGAGAGAATGTATTACCGCAATTAATTCTCTTGCTTTCACACCAGATAATTAATACTTCTAATTATGGCTTATTTACATATCTCCTCTGCATGATAACCTTTAGACTAAATTTAGTTTTCACTGTGAAATACTTCCTGCCCTAAAAAATATTATAAGAATGGAACACAGCCATTGATCAAATCCAATGCCTACAAAGCAATACCGTCAGTACGTATTAAATCTATTGTCCAGACAGATCAGCATACATACACACACGCCTACCAAACATCCATACTACACACACTTCTAGTCTGCCACTTTGGGCAACCCCTCGAGTGGATCCCACATGGTCACGTCTCAGATGTTTATCAGCCCTACAAAAACAAACAACATGCCACGCCACACGCCCACTTCATTTTCCTGCCTGGCTCTGCCCAACACTTCCTGAAAGTAATAATAAAAAAAAAGCTGAGAATCAGCCCTCAGGGCAGAATCAGCCTTAGCACGTGTCAGAGACGTCCTGACCCCCTGCCACAACTTGTTCCTTCACGATTCTGGTTCACAGATGAACCCCAGGAACAGCAGCCCTGAACTCATCTTGTATGTGAGTCCCCCTGCCCCGCCAGGACTGAGGGGAGGTGACCGGGGCACCCCAGGGAACAACATTTAAGGAGGCGCCCGCTCTGGGGTTTGACCTGTATTTACGCCTCCCTAAGTGAGCACCTCAGCGCGGGTGCCTCCTTAAATGTTGCATCCTGGCCCTGGCTCCCCTTCTCTAGATTCATGGCATCTTAGTAACTGTGTGTGGAATGTTCCGTAACCTCATTCTCATCAAGCTACCTGGGGTTCTGCATGGTCCACAGCACAGGCTCTGGGTTCTGAGCTTGCTCTGCTCCTGACAAGCTGTGTGATGTTAGGCTAGTTCCACAACCTCTCTGAAATTCCTAGTTCCTCCTCGGTAAAGGAAGATAACGTCTGCTGCCCCTACTGGGTTGTAATAAGGGTTGAGTGAGACATATAAGTGGCGTGTTTAGCACAGGGCTTGGCACAGAGGGTATGTGCCCAAGGTATGGGGTGCTCAGCCAATAAAACGGTGTTTAGTTATCATTATCATTGCTGACGGTGTGGTGACATCTCGACCCACAGTGTAGGGTCAAGACATGATGTCTAGACGGTAACCTTCAATGCCTTCATTAAAAACAACTGAATGCAAGTTCGTGTTTGCTTCTTACTTAGTACGCTGAAACGGAACAGCATGCCAGGCACTGTCACCGAGCCCATCTCACTGCCTAGCAACGCACTTCCTGCAACTCTCACAGGGTCCAGAGTCCAAGCGGACCAGACCACGGATGAGAAACAGGAAGGGAACCTCTCCCCACGCAGACTGCCCCGGAAGGAAAGAAGGTGCTGGCAGGGGGCTCACTTACTGCTTTCGTTTTGTGGGTGTTGGACCAAAACTTGAAACTTCAACCGGAGGATCCCTGGATTTTGGGCGTCTTGGTCACAGCCCTGCAGAGAGAGGTTGAAGCTCCCAGCCATGTTCCCGGGCTGCTTGTCCGCCAGCCGGAACACCTCGGGGTTGGTGGTGGAGCCCGGGATGTAGTACTCAACCCGCTCCTCCTTCTTCTCGCAGTTAGAGACGTTGAAGTGCAGGAAGGACACGCTCGCCCGCAGGTGCGCGGGGATGACGAACTGCCACGTCATGAGCTCGTCCTCAGGGAAGCCGTCCGGGTAGTTGGCAGACATGAGGGTCGCTGAGCCTTCGCCCTCAAACACAGATTCAATGATGCACAGTCCTATCGGGAGTGGAACCCAGACAAAGGAAGCGATTAGACCGTGCCCTGGCTGTCCACGGCTGAGGGGCAGCGGGGTGAGCAGAGGGGACGGCGGTTCTCGGGTCCTGAGCTGCTGGTCTGGATGTGCTACCAGGAGGAGGCACCAGTGGTGTGTGAGTCAATGTTTAATAAGTGACTCAGTGGGCAAAAAAAGGCCTAATGTGTAGGGTCCGCCCACTTCCTTGGTGTAACTACTCCCACCACAGCTGAGTTCAAGGTATTAAAGTGAGATGATTGAAGGTGGAGTCGGGAGGAAATGGGCAGCAGGTCATCATCGTGTAGTATTTCCACCCACCGATATGATCGGCACAAATAACCTCAGGAGCATAGACAACGGGAAAACGTAGCGAACTAGTTAGAAGACAATGAGTTTTGAGCGTTCATTACCTTTGTTTCTAAACTCACTTATTCACTTGTAAGTTTATATAATTTGGTTTTTATGAATGGCTCTATTTAATACCAGCTCACAGATTCCTGCACATCTAACAATCCGCTCCTGTGAGCCGGTGTGAGCCAGCTCTAGCACGCCACCGACACAATTAGAGAAAATGTACAAGAGATAGAAGACGAGACAAAGAAATTAGAAACGGAGCGATCACGAGAGGTCTGTAGAACCAATCCCATCTCATTTTTTAAAAAACAAACCTCACGTGCACAAAGGACAAAGAAAAGAGAGTCACCACTGGGTTGTTTAACGGAGAAGGGTGTGAGCTTACTTTAAAGCAGGAGGTGAGTGGCAGGTGAGCTAGCAAAGCTTCATCTGTATTCGCAGCTGCTCCCAGCACCAGCATCACCGCCTCAGCTCCCCCTCAGATCACCAGACATTAGATTCTCATAGGAGCACCGGTCCCCGGTGCCAAAAAGGATGGGGACCGCTGCTGTAAGGTATTCAAGTTGAATGATACAAAACTGCTGACACCTGACCCTTTCTAACCCAGAACAGCGGTGATTCGGTACGTTGCATCCTCAGCAAACAGCGGGGAGGGAGTGTGTGCTCACGTTTTATGGACGACCGGTTCGCGATACTGAAGCCAGAGATGTTCCGGTTGTGGAACCACGGCAGGTGTAAGGCCATCTGCACGCCCCCTTGCATCTTGATCCGGGACACGGTGCCGTTGCTGCAAAAGGTTCCGATCCTGACTGCGGTGGCATCGATGCGGCCGCTGATGGAGTGAGTGACTCCGTCCGGGCAGCTGTCCCCAGGCCCGATCTGCCTCAGGCGAGGCGTGGAGAACTGTAGCTCCAGACCAATGCTCTTGTGAGCTTGGACGTCCCAGGTGAAAGTTCTGTTGAGGGTGGGCAACATCGATGCTGGGGGTTGCAGATGGACCTCCCCAAAAGGACACGGGCCCGACATGCAGTCTGAAACAGTCACAAAACCATCTTGGTCACACACGCTCCCAGGCCACTAGCTGCTCCCCCTCGCCCCTTAGGAGATCCTCAGATGGGTACACGTATCTCTGGGGAAGTGCCTCGGCTGGGGGAGCTGTAAAAGCCGTGCCGACAGGGAGTAGAGCCCACGGCCAACACAGCCCAGCACAGAAGTGAAAACACCTGACTTCCTGGCTTCATGTGATACAGCCTGGCAAAGCTACTCACAGGCCAGCATTAGTCTGAGGCTACACTTCAGCTAAAACCCCGTCTTTGCTTACTTCTTCCCTTGCTCTCTCCTGCATTCCTCAGTTCTTCCTAGGGTGCTTCTGTGGGTACTCTCGTGACCAACGATTTAAACGAAGATCTCCATTCAGCATCTGCCTCTAGGGAACCAGACCCTGAACACCTTGTAACTACTGTGTTCTCTCGCCCGGGCCTTCCAGGAAGTCAGAGGAGGGCCCTTCGCAATGGAGCCTGTGCTCTGAGATGCCCCACTTCCTCTATGCCGAGACAGTCATGGTTGCACAGCTTTTAGGGCCCGGAGCCAAAGATGAAGCTCCACCTTTTAAAACTGGTTTCTCCATCAACGACTCATCAGCGTACTGAGTACACTCAGAATGAGAAAGGCCTTGAGTGGCTGGAACCTGGAGGCACAGTTCTCTTCCTGTTCATATTTTATTAACTTGGCAGTGGAATTTTTTTAAAGGCTAACAACTAATGACATCGTTTGATGTACTTTGTTTCCTAAGGCTCTTAAAACAAAGGGAGAAACGCTGCTGTTGGGGAGGAAATAGGAGGAAAGCAAGCGACTAACAGTAAAGGTTTTGTTGTCTTCAGCACGGCGTGGACTCTGGCCATTGTAATAATAATCTGTGAATCTTTATTGCTGCTCCAGTGGGGTATCTGAAAGTACTGCCAGCTCGAAATGGAATTATGGGAGATTTTCAGAGCTGCCCAGGACCTCTGAGGTCATCCACACCAAGCCTCTCATTGTTTGCAAAGCAGCCCTGGAGTCCAGGGGACGAGCGTGGCACTTGCAAAGCACATAATCCTGGGACAAAAGCCCAGGCTGCGTCTAGTCAACTTGCGTTCTTACTAACCCACTGTGCCACCTAACGCATAAAACAGGGTCAGATAACAAGGTGACGAATGTGGCTAAAATTAGACTTTGTGTGTCAGTAAAGGCAGCACCTATTTTTAGAAGCTCACGGAAACTTCATCGTTGATATCGAGCTAACTCTTTCCTTCAAAAGCTGGCCTCGTAACCTTCCCCCTACACCTCCAGTGTGCCCAGCGCCACGTGGAGTCGTTCCTGCTGGGTCCCGTGCTCAAGCGGTATCACTTAACCCTGTTAAAACAGCGGT